CACAATATTTTCTGCAAACAGTGATGCATAGTTACTTCTTATGCCATAAATTGAACAAAAATAAAAAATAAAAACATTATTATGGCATGGTGCAAAAGTTTGGGCACCCTAAGAGTTCCAGAGTCTCAAAGTCTCTCACAAGGTTTCAGACCTTAATCAGCTCATTAGATCTGATGCACAGCAACAGCTGTCATTGGTAAATGCCAATTTCAAAGCTGTACAAATACCTTGACTCTTCAAACCTTGTGCACACACTTGTGGACACCCAGCAACCATGGGTTCCTCTAAGCAGCTGTGTAAGACCCTGAAAATGAAAGTTATTGATGCCCACAATGCAGGAGAAGGCTACAAGAAGATAGCAAAGCGTTGTCAGCTTGCAGTTTCCACAGTAAGAAATGTAATTAAGAGATGGCAGATCAGGGGAACTGTGGAGGTCAAGATGAGATCTGGAAGACCAAGAAAACTCTCGGACAGAACTGCTCGTATGCTGGTCAGAAAGACAAATCAAAACCCCCATTTGACTGCAAAAAACCTGCAGGAAGATTTAGCAGACTCAGGAGTGGTGGTGCACCGTTCCACTGTGCAGCGATGCTTGCACAGACAAGGCCTTCATGGAAGAGTCAGCAGAAGAAAACCTTATCTGCGTCCCCATCATAAAATCCAACGTCTGAAGTATGCAACAGGACATCTACAGAAGCCCGATGCGTTTTGGAAACAAGTGCTGTGGACTGATGAAGTTAAAATAGAACTCTTTGGACACAATCAGCAAAGGCATGTTTGGAGAAAAAAAGGAGCAGCATTTCATGAAAAGAACACCTTGCCAACTATTAAGCATGGGGGTGGATCTATCATGCTCTGGGGTTGTGTTGCAGCCAGTGGCACAGGAAACATTGCACGGGTGGAGGGAAGAATGGATTCCACTAAATACCAGCAAATTCTGGAAGCAAACATCACACCATCTGTAAAAAAGCTGAAGCTGAAAAGAGGATGGCTTCTACAACAGGACAATGATCCTAAACATACCTCGAAATCCACTATGGAATACCTCAAGAGACGCAGGCTGAAGGTTTTGGAATGGCCATCACAGTCCCCTGATTTAAACATCATTGAAAATTTGTGGGTAGATCTTAAAAGAGCTGTGCATGCAAGACGACCAAAGAATATTATGTTACAAACTGTACAAATTCAGCCCCAGGCCGGAGCTGTTGTCAGCTGACTAAAGAGTAAATTTGACAATTGATCAATTAATTGACTAAGATTCGGATTCTTTTCTTTTTTATTCGATAACTGCTTATTTAGTTCCTAATTTGCTAATTTCACACTTAGCAATTTGGGGAAGGTTATTTTTTGTGTTAACAGAAAAAGAACCATAGAAAGGTAATGTTTTTCTGTCATGTAACCTAACAGCAAATGAGCCAGTGAAGGTATATAAAAACTGAACAAATCCTGTGACGTCACCCGCTGGTTTTCTGAAGAGCAGTTTTGAAGCTCAAGTCTGGCCATCGCTGTGTTGGTAGCACTCCACTCAGCCTGATACAGTATGTCTAATCCAAAAATGGGAAAAGAGGCAGCGAATGAGTGGAGCTCATCCTACCTAATGCCTTTTCAACCTAGAGGATCTAATGAGACTCAGAACAGACAGACACCATAAACCACTCCTTACCGCCCTTTGCCCTCACATCATGTCCCGTTTCCTGAAGCTACAATGTGAACTACAGATGCCTGGTTGGGACAAACTGTACAAATGCAGCCCCAGGCCGAAGCTGTTGTCAGCTGACTAAAGAGTAAATTTGACAATTGATCAATTAATTGACTAAGATTCGGATTCTTTTCTTTTTTATTCGATAACTGCTTATTTAGTTCCTAATTTGCTAATTTCACACTTAGCAATTTGGGGAAGGTTATTTTTTGTGTTAACAGAAAAAGAACCATAGAAAGGTAATGTTTTTCTGTCATGTAACCTAACAGCAAATGAGCCAGTGAAGGTATATAAAAACTGAACAAATCCTGTGACGTCACCCGCTGGTTTTCTGAAGAGCAGTTTTGAAGCTCAAGTCTGGCCATCGCTGTGTTGGTAGCACTCCACTCAGCCTGATACAGTATGTCTAATCCAAAAATGGGAAAAGAGGCAGCGAATGAGTGGAGCTCATCAGACAGCTAGTGGCCAGCCACCTATGGTTATGAGCCTCCAGCATGTCACTCAAAACAGCCATGCCCTTTATTGTGCATACCTTTTAGTCTCTATATAATTTAAATGGGCAAGTTATCTAAACAAAAAAAAAAAAAAAAAACAACTCGCCCCACGTGCAGTTGTCATGGAAGGAGAAATTAGCTATAGAGACCAAAACAATTTTTTGTACCAGGCTATAACATGTTTATTTCTGCTGTAAGGTTTGGCATTTTAACACCGGAGTCGATGGGAACTGGCTAGTGGTTAAGGGTTCAAATCAGGGTTGCGTCAGGAAGGGCATCCGGCGTAAAACATGTGCCAAATGTCAATATGCGAGTCATCAGTGTGACGATTTGCTGTGGCGACCCCTAAAAAACGGGAAAAGCTGAAAGTGACATTCATTCATTCATAGTCGATGGGGACTGACTCCCTTTTGGAGCCCGCCTCTAGTGGCCCTTCGAGGAACCGCTGGTTTTGACACTTGACCACTGGCTCCATTTCCCTGCCTCGGAGGTTGCTGCTTGAAATGAGCTTGAGCACAGTACACATTTGTGTGCAGACATTTTGAATAGGCTTGTTCTCTTTAAGAAACCACTGCAGTAGTGGCTGGGGTGGGGCCCCGCTCTCACCCACCACCTCCCAGCCAGTTAGATTTATATAACCAAGTTAAACTCAAGATGATTGGCTTTTCTGTCAGCCACACACTGGGCTAGCTGCTGGTGTGCATTTCACTTCCCAACTGGCTGCCTTTAAGTTCTGCAGCTACAGGACAGGTAATAAATGCATAAATTTATTAGCAGCTGAGCACTGCTTCACCTGACCATGAGGTCGATCTTCATCATTTGACTAATTTAACAACAATCAGTGGAAAAACTAGACTGTGGCAAAGTAGGTCAATATCCAACACCATGCTGTGACTTTCAGAGCAGAGTCTAGAGATGGAGACTAAAGTCAGTGAATCACTACAAAGACAGAGAAGGTCCATCCACCATGGGGAGATGATTTCTGGAGTGAAGCTACTGCTAAACATGATTCGAGACATTCTTTAAATTGGTACAAAAATCAAACATTTCTCCTCGAGTTTTCTCTTCATCAGGGAAACTTCACAGAAAACTTAAAGGAAGCAGAAGCCATGGGTTAACAACAGCAGCAGTACTAGCAGTATTACTGACAACGACAGTGGAAATACCAGCAGTAGCACAACTACTGCTTGTAGTAGTAGTAGTAACAGCAACATTAGTAATTAGAAAAGGAGCAGTGCTGCATGTCAAGAATCTAATCAGGTGTCTTATCAGAGTGAACGACACTCTGATTTCCATTTAATTAAACAGGGTATTTCAAGGATGTTTTTGCAGTTTGAGTTACTGTGAACTCTGATACGAAAATGTAATGTACTCAGCTCCAAATACTGGTTATGGTCTCCTAGATATGGGCCCTGAAAAATCCTGTCAGCTGAATACTGAATAACACCTGCTCACAAATCTGATTCTCATTGTTTCTGAGAATCAGATTTGTGTCTGAGGCCTCACACAGGTCCAGCAGGACTGCAGGGCAGCAATGAGTGGATGCTAGCAAACCTGTAACACTGTCTGAGGAGGCCACTCATCAGTGTGACCCAAACAGAGACACCTGCTGATGGAATACCTGCTGCATCGCCTCATGTCACCTTTGTCAGGTTGAAAGAGTGGCACTTGAACACACTGCACAGTTGACAGCCAGCAGCTGACGAGCATCTATGGCCTGCGCCTGTGTGAGAAACATGACTACCCCTAACAGCAGGTGGCAGTATCAGTATTCACCATTCAGAAAGGGAAAGAAGAAGAATTAGACTGTGGAAATACAAGCGTTAACAAAGCGTATGTCATTCAACACAATAGCTGTTTATTGCTGCTTCTAATCGAGAATGCGTCTGATAAGAAGTTGCAAATGACTGCCGTTCTCTGCCCTTGGTCTTTTGGTTGTGGAAGAAGAAAGGAGGTTGTGGAGGCGAAAAGCAAGGAGAAACCGCACTAAATGTGTAAAATCATGGATGCTACAGCAACAGGCTGAAGGGGCTTTCCCAAACCATTTTCTTCTCATGCACTGATTTGATAAGCTCAACAGCCAATCAGAGTGGACTCTCTCACCAGCAAGGGCCAATGCTGATTCATCATGCCACAAGAGCTAACCTACTGTTTCCGCCCGGAGAGGAGCCTCAGGGCTACATGAGTAGAAATATACTTGATTCACATCCTGAACACCATGTCAGATCCTGGTTAGGTAACATCAGTCAGGATACGCTGCACATAAATGTCTTTGTGTGTTAGCACATGGCAAATAAAACCTACTGTCAACACAATCAATTGAATTGTGAACTCTGCAGACTTTACACTGTGAGACTTTACACTGTGACCGAGTCATACAAGAAACTGATATCAGCATCTGGATTATTCTCCCAATCATTACTGAGCACACAGTTTACTACACTCCACTATCAGCCGTCTGTTAATGCCTGTGACCTGCACTGTGACATGGGCTGACATTGTCACAGTCATTCATTTACTTATTCAGTTAACTTGTGCTTTATTCGGTGTAAATAAAGTAACAAAAAAAAAACCATCACATGATATCGAACAAAGTGAGTCTTCAAGTGCTTCTTATTAAGACTTTTGGTTTGTCAGAAATCAAAGCAAAGTTCACATTGAACATGTCTAGATTTTCTTTACTTGGGAAACAGTTTTTAAAAAATGTCTTTGGATAGTATGAAAAATGTCTATAACAATTATTTGATTATTAAAATAACAGGTAACTAATTTTCTGTCGATTAACTAACTGCTGCAGCTCTACTCACTTCTTGCATCATGTCCCTGATGTTCAAAGAACGTCTTTGACCAGGTGAAGAAAAAAAAAGAAGTTTTAAACTCAGTTGTTGTTTGAGTACCAATGCTGCGAATGTGGCCCCGCTGGTCTGCTTGCCGCTCTTCGTGGTGTATGCAGAACCACAGAATTTAAATCTCGATTCTTGCCTCAGAAAAAAAATGCCTTTACTCGAGGGAGGCACTAAAAACCAATGACATCATGAAAACACCTTTGACAATGTAAAGTGCTTCAGGCTTGAGCTGAGAAGTCCATGTGACGGAGGTGAAAAGTAATGTACTGTATGAAATCGCAACGTCACAATAGCAGCTGGACGACTGGGCTGTGTCAACAGCTGAACAATGCCAGAAATTTAAGACAACAGTCTCACAGTGTGATTGCGGCTGTGACCCAAACCAACACACACAACTAAACCACAAATGACATAAAACACACTGGTAAAATAACTTGGTAAGTATTAGTCCTACATTTTAAAAACAATAAAGGCAAAAGTTTGTTGGAGTAAAAGACAAAACTCGAGATTAAGAAGCTTGTTCTTGTTTTACTGCATTTCATAGCCACGACAGGGACAAGGGAAGTCAATGACAAGTCTGTTCAAGCAATTTTTCCATAAAACACAGCTCTATGATCACCAGGCAGTCTGGCACCATGCTATGAAATGATTAGTTACTAAACATTCTTCAAATGACAGAAAACTAATCTGCAAGTATTTTCACAAAGGATTAATCATTTCAGTCAGTTTTCAAGCAACAGACAAGTTTTCTCTGTTCACTGCTTTACTTTGTCTCACATGATAATAATCTGAACATACTGTCACTGTATTCCAGTATATTTTCCACTACTTTCTGATGTTTTCTAGACAAAGCAATTAGTTGGTTAATTAAAAAAAAAAATCTAATAACTGAGAATAAAAATAACTCAAGTTAATCTATCACATAGAGCCTTTACATGATTTGCAAAGATGATGGTAACACCAGATTAATCCAAACCAACTCGAGAAAACAAAACAGGGAGAAAAGAACAGTTCAAAACTTTTACTAACATTCTGTGTTTCTCTGGAATCAAACTGAAGACAACTAAAAGACTCCTGACCCACTTCCTACTGTGTGCACTACATTATAGTACCTACACATCAGCAAGTCTAGCCATCAGTCTTGGGGCTTGTACAGGAACTGGTTATTTTGAATTGCAGGGAAGTAAATACCCAAACACAGCCAAACTGAAATTCCCATGCTGATTCAGAGTAAACACTTAAAATATTTAAAGAAATTGATTAAAACTTAACTGGCTCACAGGGGCCCTAGTGTGTGCTACAACTGTAACTAAACAAGTTTAATCCAGAGGAAAACTGTTTCTATCAACAATTCACATCAGTGAAAGTACAGAACAGCAAGTGTTAACAAGGTGGAAGAGCACCTCTAACTGGAGGTGAGTGAATATTCCTGGTGTGTCTGAAGGTGAAGGACAGTTTTATATGTTACCACTGACCAACTGATGCTGCAGACAGTGGTGTTATTCTAAAATCTGAGGCTCGTGTTCTGGCAGTCGACTGCAAAATGTCGGCCTCATCCTTGCTTGGTAGATGCATAAGTGTTTATTTTAGTTTTTAGACCATGTTATATCATCTAGTGATTTAATGGGGTCACACTTATGCTCAGAATTCCTGAATCAAAAACAGAAAGACAAAAAACCAAGACTGAAAGCTGGGTTCTGACAAAGGGAGGTTAAGCACCGACTGTGTAGCCTAAATGATTAGACACTTTTGTACAGGTCACTACTGTTTATTTACTTTTACTTTCATCACGTTTCAAGTTCATGCAATACACACCAACAGTTCATTAACATCTTAAGACGTTAGTTTGCTGTTGGGGGGGGGTAGATTTACTTGTGTTGACTCCAAAATTCAACAAATAACGTAATTTGCCCAAACCTTTGTATCCAACTGTAAATGCAGCTCTATAAATAACGTGTAAATAAATTATTTGTTAGAAATACCCAGACTCCATCTGCAGTCACTAAACTGTTTGATTCGACAGTCTTGATGCTGATTCTACTGAGAAATTATAACCTTTACTATCATGACATCATGTTAACAGGACCTAGTCTGAACCTGACCACCTGCAACACACACACACACACACACACGTTTATGTTCATGCTAGCCTCAGTTAGCCAGCTAGCTACCAGGTTCAGTGAGACAACAAGGACGAGAGGTGGAAGTGACAGAGACAGAACATTTCACTAGTTCACCAACACCAAATCCCGGTATTTACCACGGTGTCCAAAAGCACCAATGTCAGTCACGGACTCGGTTGCTAACGTTAGCTTCCTCTGGTGACAGAGGCTAATAGCGGATAAGAGAGCTCCACTCCCGAGGTAAACTAACCAAACAAGCCCCTGATAGGCTCCCATCGCAGTAGGTTGGCTAACGCCGGAGCTTTCAGTGTTTAAAATGTGGCTGTTTTATAAGCTCTGAGGTGAATTTTTTAGTTATAACAAGTCGCCATTCTAAAGGACAATGCATTATTGGTTAAACTTACCAAATACTCCCGTTTTTTCAGCATCTTCCGTGATTTCCCACCGCGGAGCGTTACTCTCAGACAGAACGGAGTCCACCATGTCAGCTTCAATGAGAGAAAGAGCGGCGCTTCCGGAGACGTTTCACGATAAACGTAGGCTGACAACACATTATTGTGCCTGAAATGTTCGCTCTTCACAAAATCATCTTTAATAATATTAAGCATTCATTTAATTTGTAAGGAACAGAAGGATGCCCCCCCCCCACACACACACATACAATGACACACATAGCTACAAAGAGCAAAAATGACCACAAAGACACACAAAATGCGCCGAAGAGACACATTTTTTTACTTTTTTAACAGCCTCTGGAGATGTGTGACAAACTGTTGAACATCATGGAGAACACCTTACTTCCATGACTTCCACAAGATTTCTACCAGATCGCACCAATTTACAACATGGCCTATAATGTTTATTTTATTAATAATGTGTATATAATATGTAGGCGTATAGGCTGTTAATGTAGTCTCCAGAACCGATTTAAGACTCCTTATTTTCTTTATTTATCGAAGTTTGTATTTATTTATTTAGTAGTCTATATTTTATTTTATTACTTAGGCTACAATCTTCTATGCATTTAACCCTGTTTTGTAAAAAAAAAAATCCTTTTTTAGCTACTCTAACGCCAGAATTCTTCTTCTGCTGTTGATTAATGGCGGTTGGCAAACAGCTTTTGGTGCATTACCGCCACCTTCTAGACTGGAGTGTGGATCACAACGGCCTATTACTACTATATTAAAATAACCTCACTCAGTTCACATTATATTGTTTTGCTCAGTCCTGTACCCTCTAAAAAGTGCTCCGTATCCTATAGCCCCTGAGCTCAGGTTCACCTCGTTCCACCGCTTTGAAACACCAGAATTTCCCTTTGGGGTTAATAAAGTAAATTATTCTATCTATCTATGCGCCTCCCCTCTTTATAAAAATGTTTCATAATTCGACCCTGTTCAACGGCATTTGGGTATATCAACAGACCGTGGAGGGTAAATAAATTTTCAAAAAATTCCAAGGTTTTTAATTTCAATGCCAAACCATCCAACTTCCTGTCACGCCTCGGTTCACTTAACAGAGCGTCCTGACACCGGTGGCTCTCGCGTGCCGGGCTTGTTTCTCGAAATGTGTTCCCCGCCAACATGTTTCCCCCTGTTAAAACTGTGTTTCAAGTAGCGTCCCTCTGTGATTATGGTTAGGGTTCAGGTCAGGGGAAACGCATCTCCACGGGGTAACAGATCTCGACACAACACCAGAAGAATCCCTGTGCTCCAAAGATCCTGTCTGAAAAATTTGATGACTTACTAAGAAAGCGGGAAGAAAATTGGCAACTTCCTGTCAGCAGCCAGAGTTTATGGCTGACATACTGTATTCTAAGACAAATTATTGACTGAATTTGCATTTTCAATCAAACGATTTATAAAAACTAATAAAGTGACCATTACATTATTAGATAATTAATTATTTTCCATAATATTATCATGGCTTACTTGCTTGTTTTATATTAAGAAGTGAAATACAATTTTTAACAGATTTCAAAATAATCCATATAATGCCTTTTAATGTTTCTTATTGCATTTACTAGCCTAATGTGTCCTCTTATAATTTTTTGTTTTTCTAGTTCTCCTCTTTAAAGTTTCCATTCCATTCTCATTTTAATTTAAGTATGCAAGCAATTTAAATGTGTGCAATCACATGATTATTAGAGAAAATAACTGTCAGGTGTATTGATGATGAAGGTAGGCCTGTTTTGTTAGTTGCAGCCTTACAGTCCTTCTTGGATGGAATAATACATTACCTGGAGCTTTTATATCTGTTAATTAGGTATTTGACATATGTCAAATAGGTTTCCTACAAAAAGTGGAAGCAGTATGAATAAAACAACTTTACAACAAAACAGCTCAGTATAAACTAAATCAATTCAGATTTTAAAGTTAGATTTTGTCAGAGTCCCTCAGCAACACCAGGGCACAAGAGTTCACGTTTTCAGTGGTAGCAAATATAAAACAACTTGTTTTAAACAAGTATATATAGAGTCTACAGTCAATCCGATTATGTAAACCCAAAAGGTACACCGTAAGCCTGGGGATTTGCCTACTTTGGTAATCCAATTTATTTGTGCTTCAGACAGATACAATCTTTTTAACAAAAGATGCTATAGTTTTTTTTTAAAGGTCTGTTTGGGAAAACAGAAAATAACGGTTTGGCATCAGAAAATCTGCATTTGTTTATTGTACTATTGTATTGTATCGACTTTTCATAAAATTGAATTGACGGACTATTTTCTAAACCACAGAGAACTTGTCATCCAGGTCATAATAAGCATACAGAGAACTTCACCTTCATTATAGACGATCGGTGTAGTAACAACATTTGACCAACAGGTGTCGTGTTCTCTGCTTTCACTTTGACCCGGACTCATAACAACACCTGGAACTGGCTAATGGGTTAGCTCTAACTAGCTACGTGATTCAGCTTGCTACTTTTGTTTATTATTCGCGGTTACCGTTAGTTTATGGCTGCAGAAGATGATGGTAGCTGGACAGAAGTTGTAGATACAAGATGAAGACGGTTAATCTGCGTTCAGGCTGAAGTTTGTTAACAATCTTTAGCCGTAGGGACGTTGACTGGTCGTTAGCCTGCTAAAGCTATCACAACAACAACAACAACGATCCAGCAACAGCTGGTAACATCACATTCACAATCTGCACGAACATTAATGTTCGAATGTTGTTAACGTAAAATGTTTATCGGGGTGCCAATAACAAGTGGCTTGCATGTTAGATTAACGCTGGCAGTGTTGTTTGTAGCACGGAATCATGTGACCTGCATTAGCTGAGGTGGACGTTTCCCTCACATCTGTTCTAGTCACCGGGTGTGACATCCAGATGTTTGGCAGCAGTAAACACACAGTGTCACAAATTATCAATTCTAAATCTTTATCGTTATTATTTAGTATAATTATTATACGAATTATTATGGTCCTCATTTTTAACAACAAACAAACGACATTAAATTGCAGCAGCCAGCACCATCATAGGCAAAGTAAAATACTTAACATCATGTAAAAGACAGGGAAAGAAAAAAAAACATAGTAACAAGATCAGCATGTCTTTGTGTTCATGTCATGACTGTCCTTTAAAATCAGAGGACAATATGATCTGTGATTCTGGACCAGGCTGGAAGACTTTTCTTTCAGGTTTACATCGTCTATCATATTAAACTCCCTTGTAGCTTTTCAGTTTGTGCCTTTATAGCAATTGTGAACTTTCCCTGTTTTGTTTAGCTGTGTGTTGCTCCTCTGAGAAATCCTCTGGTCCACCTTCAGGTTTTCAGCCAGAAGCTGACTCCATCTTTGACTCTTAATTCCCTCCTCAAAACTACAAATTACCAAGTCTGAACATGGTGCTTTGTCTCCATTGTTCTTGTTTTTAAATACCTGGTTGGCCTACCTCAGACAGATGCAGTTAAATGGTGGCAACTGTTGTTGTGTTTGTTGACTTTTTTAAAAAACTTGTTTTTCTCCAGACTGTGTTGAGGTGTGATGGGGAATCAGCTGGCGGGGATCGCCCCCTCCCAGATCCTCTCTGTGGACAGCTACTTCTCAGACATCCATGACCATGAGTATGATAAGAGTCTGGGCAGCACTCGTTTCTTCAAGGTGGCCCGGGCCAAACACCGGGAGGGCCTGGTGGTGGTCAAAGTCTTTGCCATCCAGGACCCCTCGCTGCCATTGACCAGCTACAAACAGGAGCTGGAGGAGCTGAAGATTCGGCTGCACTCCTGCCAGAACTGTCTGCCCTTCCAGAAAACCTCCCTGATAGAAAAAGCTGCCATCCTGTTTCGTCAGTACGTCCGGGACAACCTGTACGACCGCATCAGCACCAGGCCCTTCCTCAACAACGTGGAGAAGCGCTGGCTGGCCTTCCAGATCCTCAACGCTGTTGACCAGGCACACAAAGCCGGTGTGCGCCACGGAGACATCAAGACAGAGAACGTGATGGTGACCAGCTGGAACTGGGTGCTGCTCACTGACTTTGCCAGCTTCAAACCCACATACCTCCCGGAGGACAACCCCGCTGACTTCAACTACTTCTTCGACACATCCAGGCGGAGGACATGCTACATTGCACCAGAGAGATTTGTGGATGGAAGTATGTTTACCACAGAGAGCGACCAGAATACACCGCTGGTGGACCTTACAAACAACAACCAGAGAAGCAGAGGGGAGCTCAAACAGGCCATGGACATCTTCTCCGCAGGTAGACATGGATAGAACATAAAAATTTGAAGTTGAATTTAATGTTTTCATTTCAATTTAGATCACAGATGATGCATCCCCATGCTTTTACTGCAGCTCGGCACAAGGTCACTTAAAACGGAGAAACCAACTTAAACCTGCTGCAAAAATCTCTCAGCAAGCATCATTAAACTTAAATGAGGTTTGCAGTGAACTATAAATTTAATATCAACTAATCGTCAGATAATTTTGTGATTGTTTGGTGAAAAAGTGTTTCTAAGAGTCAGATGTTTTATTTTGTCCAACCAAGTCAGCAGCAATGTTTTCAGCCTTTAGCTTGAAAAATTAACTTAAAAGACTTTTTTTCTGTTATTCTGTGGATCAGTGAGCGGGTTCCCTGATAGACTAGTGGTTAGGACGCAGTGCTCTCGCCGCTGCAGCCCCGGTTCAAGTCAGGGTTGCGTCAGGAAGGGCATCCGGTGTAAAACGTGCCAAATGTCAACATGCAAATCGTCAGTGTGATGATTTGCAGTGGAGACCCCTAACAGGAAAAAGCCAAAAGTGACAGTGTGGATCAGTGAGTGGCCTAATTGTTGCAGTAGCATTTATGGCAGATTTCTAACAAACTTATTTTAGTAATCAGTCAATTTACCTAAAACTGATTCAGATCTAACAAATTATGAAGTAATCAGTTGTTGCTACCCTCTGCATTAAACTTTTATTTAAAAATTATGGTTGCACAATTGCATCATTTTAGTGTTTGAATGACAAATCATCGCTATATCACTTTGTTTTGTTTTTTTCTTTTGCTAATATTGTTCCTAACTAAATTTGAATCGTTTTTCTTTTTTTTGCATAATGTCTATTTTCTTATGAATGATTATTGTAGCTTCGGGTAAACTCTGCCAGTCTCTCGAATAACTTAAAAATCCAGACGTGTGTCAAATCAGTAATTATCAAATCAAGTAGCTCAGGTATTTATGTGAGGAGGAAGAAGTCCAGGTGTTGCAGCGTCCATCCACTCACTAGCAGGAGGATTCACCGATGGTTGATGTAAAACCTGATGGTATGCTTTGGAAGACCGGTGGCAGTAACTGTATGTAATGGTATTGTTTTTCCATTGCTGTAACATGAAAACCAGTGGCTGACCTCCAGTGTGTAAGTTTCATTTTGAACTCAGACTTCATGTCCTTCTGTTTTTTAGGCTGTGTGATAGCAGAGCTGTTCACTGAGGGCGTCCCGCTCTTTGATCTGTCCCAGCTGCTGGCGTATCGTAAAGGGCACTTCCAGCCGGAGCAGGTCCTTGTGAAGATCGAAGACCGGAGCATCCGGGAGCTGGTAAGGAGAGATGTTAAAGGACAGTCACAGTAAGTCGGTCAGTGGGTAAATCACTGATTCACATCAGAAGGTAAATATTAAAGTCATCATTTGTCTGTCCCTTAACTGCCCATGCTGCTAAGCTGTCATCATGCAGCTGTAAACAATGTGGTGGTTTTACATAGAGGCAGTATTGCTGTCTGAGCACAGGTCTGCAGTATGAGAGACTTCTTACTGCACCCTCCCTCTCTCAGGTTGCCCAGGCGCTGCAGCCCCGGTTCAAGTCAGGGTTGCGTCAGGAAGGGCATCCGGTGTAAAACGTGCCAAATGTCAACATGCAAATCGTCAGTGTGATGATTTGCAGTGGAGACCCCTAACAGGAAAAAGCCAAAAGTGACAGTGTGGATCAGTGAGTGGCCTAATTGTTGCAGTAGCATTTATGGCAGATTTCTAACAAACTTATTTTAGTAATCAGTCAATTTACCTAAAACTGATTCAGATCTAACAAATTATGAAGTAATCAGTTGTTGCTACCCTCTGCATTAAACTTTTATTTAAAAATTATGGTTGCACAATTGCATCATTTTAGTGTTTGAATGACAAATCATCGCTATATCACTTTGTTTTGTTTTTTTCTTTTGCTAATATTGTTCCTAACTAAATTTGAATCGTTTTTCTTTTTTTTGCATAATGTCTATTTTCTTATGAATGATTATTGTAGCTTCGGGTAAACTCTGCCAGTCTCTCGAACAACTTAAAAATCCAGACGTGTGTCAAATCAGTAATTATCAAATCAAGTAGCTCAGGTATTTATGTGAGGAGGAAGAAGTCCAGGTGTTGCAGCGTCCATCCACTCACTAGCAGGAGGATTCACCGATGGTTGATGTAAAACCTGATGGTATGCTTTGGAAGACCGGTGGCAGTAACTGTATGTAATGGTATTGTTTTTCCATTGCTGTAACATGAAAACCAGTGGCTGACCTCCAGTGTGTAAGTTTCATTTTGAACTCAGACTTCATGTCCTTCTGTTTTTTAGGCTGTGTGATAGCAGAGCTGTTCACTGAGGGCGTCCCGCTCTTTGATCTGTCCCAGCTGCTGGCGTATCGTAAAGGGCACTTCCAGCCGGAGCAGGTCCTTGTGAAGATCGAAGACCGGAGCATCCGGGAGCTGGTAAGGAGAGATGTTAAAGGACAGTCACAGTAAGTCGGTCAGTGGGTAAATCACTGATTCACATCAGAAGGTAAATATTAAAGTCATCATTTGTCTGTCCCTTAACTGCCCATGCTGCTAAGCTGTCATCATGCAGCTGTAAACAATGTGGTGGTTTTACATAGAGGCAGTATTGCTGTCTGAGCACAGGTCTGCAGTATGAGAGACTTCTTACTGCACCCTCCCTCTCTCAGGTTGCCCAGATGGTGCAGCGGGAGCCAGAGAAGCGTCTAACGGCGGAGGAGTATTTGAAGCAGCAGAGAGGGAAAGCCTTCCCTGATATCTTCTACACGTTCCTGCAGCCGTACATGGCTCAGTTTGCCAAAGAGATCTTCCAGTCTGCTGATGAACGTGTGCTGGTCATCCGCAAAGACCTTGACAACATCCTGCACAATCTGCGAGGAGGTGAGAGGCAGTATACCTGAGTATACTCCAGTATTGCTGTGGGTGTTTGCAGTAGCCTATTTCTAAAAACAGGCCGTTTCCTCTCCAGGCTCCTCCTCTTCCTCTCCATCCCAGGACAGCAGTGAAGGCGTGCTGAGCTCCCGGGAGGAGCAGGGCCTGATCGTCCTGGTGTCCGTCATCACCTCCTGCCTGCAGACGCTGCATTCCTGTGACTCTAAGCTGGCGGCGCTTGAGCTCATCCTCCACCTGGCTCCGCGGCTTGGTGTCGACATCCTGCTGGACCGCATCACACCATATCTGCTACACTTCTGCAATGACCCCATGCCTCGTGTGCGCGCTCAGGCTGTGCACACTCTGGCCAGAGTGCTAGCGCTGGTGAAGGAGGTGCCGAGGAACGATGTCAATATCTATCCCGAGTACATCCTGCCGGGCATCGCCCATCTCGCCCAGGACGACGCCACCATCGTCAGGCTGGCGTACGCAGGTCAGTGGCTGGAGGGTTCTGAAATCAAATGATTCCTGTAAATGTAGGCAGTGTTCAAACCCACAGAGCTGCGTGAAACTTTACTCCAGATTTCACACTTACTGAATCTGTCACAGTGAATTTAGAGGAAAGGATGCACAACACATTTAGATGAACTGTATTTGATGTGATACTGAAGCGGCTCAAACCAACTGATGACTCGAACAGTGAAGTGTGGACAGCAGAAGTTTTGTTCCACTTGGTGATGGTTCCCAACCTGGGGTTTGAGATCCCACAAAGGGGATTCACAGAATAAGAACTGGAAAAAAAAAAAAATCTATGCATCATTTTTTCTGTTTTTGGATTTTATTTTTGCAAATGACAGATTCTTTGTCTTCACACCTTTAACAAGGATTTGGTTAAATACAAAAACTGGAGGTTGAAGTGGACAAAGCAAACCGTGATAAGAGCTCAGTTAGACCCAACTGTACGTTAAAGTTGGATTCACTGGTTGGTGGAGAAGTAACAAAACATGCCAGCAAAAAGCCAAATGTTTTAATTTGGAAACAATATGACACCATTATACAGTTTGTCCACCAGAGAGTATTAAGAAGTTTATTTAGTGTGTAAAATACTCCAGATATCTTAGTCACAATATTTTAAACAGAAAATTTAAATGATTCTAAACATGTTTGCGCTTGTTTTTGCTGCCTTTGGCTGCACACTGAAGAAGACCTGTCTCACAGGTCTGTGCTTTTCCACCTGAGCTGATACGCGTTAGTTTGTCCTAAACAAGGGAGATTTTCCAGCTTTTTGTGCTTTGGAAGTTGATGTCGGCTGAACTCCACCCCAGCTGTCCCCTTTTTATTTCGTCTCTGGTTGAGCACAGTATCCCTCAGCTCTACTGTATTTGAAGAAATAACCGAATATCCACTTATTTATTGTTAGGAGATTTTTTTAAACTCCAGACATTAACCTCTACATCCAGAGCTTTGTATTGACTGGGCTCTAACCCAGAAACACTTGTTGAGGTCTTCTTCTTTATTCTCTTCTTGGGGATGTGCAGAGAACATAGCCCACCTGGCAGAGAGCGCGCTGCGTTTCTTGGAGCTGGTTCAGGAGAACAACGTGAACACAGAGCAGGACCTGAATGGTGAGGACACAGAGGAAACGCTGCACCCCAACGAAAACTACGACTCAGGTACAGAAACACACACGAGCTGACCTTCATATCACAGCTGTGTAGTTGCTTCCCTGTGTGAGAAATCTGTTGTGTGTTTAATGTCCAGAGCTGCAGGCGCTGCATGAGATGGTACAGCAGAAGGTGGTGACGCTGCTGAGCGACTCGGAGAACATCGTCAAACAGTCGCTGATGGAGAACGGCATCACGCGCCTCTGCGTCTTCTTCGGTCGACAGAAAGCCAACGACGTTCTGCTGTCTCACATGATCACCTTCCTCAATGACAAGAACGACTGGCACCTGCGAGGAGCCTTCTTCGACAGCATCGTGGGTCAGTGGTCAGACGCACCAGGTTTTAGAAAGGTCTCATCTCTCATGTCTGTCTGAAGGCTGAAGATCTCAAAGTTCTGGGTTCATTACTTGCATGGCCTTGCCCCTGCATATTTATCAGATCTTCTATCCAGATATTTTCCTCGGAGATCATTACGGTCGTCCGCCCACCTCACCCTTGTGGTCCCTTCTTCCCGTTATAAAAAATGGGGAGGTCGGGCCTTTGCCGTGTACAGCCCGGTATTGTGGAACGCTCTGCCATTAGGTTTACGCTCTATAACTGAACTAGTTCCGTTTAAATCGGCACTGAAAACATATTTTTTTAAACAAGCTTTTTATGCTTAATCTCTCTAAGGCTCC